AAAAAAAAAACAGAAAAAAAAAGAAAAAAGAAAAACGAAGGGTCGGGGGGGCAGAGGGGAGACAGAGAAGAGGAGTTAGGAGTGATACAGCTCTAAGAAGAGAATTTAAAATAAAATAAAATAAAATAAATAAAAAAAAGAGAAAAAAAAGAAAAACTATTTGGGGTGTATAGGCAGCTCAGCTGTATACAAGAAGCAGAGAAGCGCCAATGGGTGTGCGGGAGAGTGTATGCTGTAACTAGGGTTTTTATTTGTATTTTTATTTATTTAATTGATTAAATTTAAATAAAATAAATAAAAAAAGAAATATAAAACACAAAAAATATACAAACACAAAGAAAATAAACCCCCCTATATAGCGGGGCTGCTGCTGGTTCTCTGCTTCGTCTCTGTTGCATGCGCCTGAGCCTCCTCTGTGTTTTTTATTGAGAAAAAAACAAAAAAAATAATTTGTTTATTTTAATTAATTAATTTATTTTGTTTTCTTTTTCTTTTTCTCTTTTTTTTTCTCTCCTAAAGCGTTTGATTCATCTCTCTTATAGCCGCAAAGAGGCACGCTCACTAGCCTCGGGTCCCCTTTGTGTTTTTCTTTGTCTTTTTTCTCCAGGTAAAAGAATAAAGAAATGAATTAAAAGAATAAAAAAGATAAAAATATTAAATAAAATAAATAAAAAAAGAAAAAATAAAAAAAAGCGAAACAAAACAAAAAAAAAAGATGCGAAATGACACCCCAGCCAAAGCAAGGGGGATGAGCTCAAGAAAACAAACCACAGAAGGATAATATAATAAAATAAAAAATAAAAAAAATAAAATAAATAAAATAAAAATAAAATAAATAATATAAAAATAAAATAAATAAAAAAATGAATTAAATAAATTAAAAAAAAAAAAAAGGATATAGCTGGCGCCCGGTGTAGGCAGCCCTCTCCCCCTCTTCCTCTTCTTTATTATTATAAGAAAGCAGTATCTCTCCTGCTGCTGCTGCTGCTGCTGCTGCTGCTGCTGCTGCTGCTGCTGCTGCTGCTGCTGCTGCTGCAGCGGGAGAGAGAAGGGCAAAGATAGTAGTATAAAAAAAATAAAATTTATAAATATTATTGTTGTTTTTGTTTTTGTTTTTGTTTTTGTTTATTTTATTCTGTTGCTGGGTATGAGGGGGAGTTTTAGTTTATTTATTTTTTCTTTTATGTGTATTTCTTTGTATTAAAATTTATTATTTGTCTTTATTCTTGTCTTTATAGAAATTTAAATTAAAATAAAAAACAAAAAAAAAAACAAAAATAAACAAAAACAACACAAAGATTTCGTCGCAGTATATACACCCCAGGAGCTCCACGCCGCAGCTAGAGATACAGCAGAGACCCGCTGCTGCTTCTGCTGTTCTTGCTGCTGCTGCTGCTGCTGCTGCTGCTGCTGTTTGCTGCTGCAGCAGCTTCTTTCTCTGTCGTATCTGCTGCTGCTGCAGCAACGAGGGGGAAGACCCCCCGGACCCCAATGGCACCCCCTCGTGTATTATCTCTTCTTGTTGCTGCAGTTGCTGCTGCAGTTGCTGCTGCTGCTGCTGCTGCTGCTGCTGAGGCAGAAACGGACCCCCTTGAATCACCAGAGCCGAAGGGCTTCCCCTTCGTGCCTGGGTTGCCGGTCCCTGAGAGCCCGTAAGTAATAAAATTTATTTATTTATTTTATTTTATTTTATTTTATTTATTAATTTATTTATTTAATTTATTTAATTTAATTAATTAATTTAAATAAATAAATCAATAGGTGAAGAGGATGCACGGTATCGTTGCTTGTTGTGTTGTTGGAGCTGCCTGTACACCCCAACGATAAATAAAAAGAGAAAAATTTATGTTTCTGTTTATTTCCTTCTTTATATTAATTACTTTTATAAATATAAAAACAAATACAATAA